TTGTCTATCAATGTTCTCTTACAGTACACTTGAGACTCTTGAAGATAATTATTTGAATTCTTTGTCAGGTAATTCATAGATCTCCATTCCTTTGGGGCTGTTTTAGGAGGTTTAATCATTTGATTAGGCTGCAATTCCCTTTTTCTTTGTGTGTCTTGTTATTTTTATGGGCTTGTAGTTTTCTGGGGGAAAAAAAAAGATAACCACCACCTCTCTCAGTCTTTCCAGACTGGATTCGCACAAGGGAAGACCTCCACCAATCAGCCCAACTAGAGTTTCGGGGGATCCCTCTAATCTTTTCCAAGAAGGTGTTGTCTTTATATTTGTGCATTTAATTTACAAATTATAGAGCTTCACTTTTTATTTTTCAAGAGCTTATAACCTTTTGCTCCCTCTGGTGTACACAGGTGGTACTGCAGTTCCACTGGCACTGCAACCAGCAGCTGAGCTTTTCATGATCCCCAAGCATCCAAAGTATTCCAGTTTCCAGTCAATGCTACAAGTCAGACAAGAAAGAAAACAGTCCTTCTGGCAGCCCYCAGAAGAGCCAGAATGTTAGATGCACATTCCACTCTTCTTTTTCTCCCAAGGTAGAGGCCATAGCTGGTCACTTTCTCCCCATCTTACTGAGCTGGTCCAGCCTCCAGAAGCAGCGTGGTCAGTTCTTTAGTGTTACAACAAATCACTGAGCTTTCTTTGTCCGCTGTGGCCCCAAGGTATCCAYAGCATGCTGGCTCCCCAGTGGTGCTCTGAGTCAGCTCAAACAGAAACCAGCTCCTTGGACAGTTCCCTGAAAAGCTGAAATGTCGGATGCRTGTTCCAATCCTCTAGTTCCTTTCAGAGAGGAGTTGTAAGCTGGGCTTTTCCTTGAGTCCTGATCATGTGTGCCAGCGGGGGGGAAGTGGTTATCACTGTGGATAYGACAAGGTTTTTCTTACCCATTTCAATGTGGATGTTCTTGACTTGGAATTTGTCTGCAGCTTGGTGACTTCTTAACTTTCTAAGTTTTCAAGACGGCTGTTTTGGCCACATACTATTTTTTTTCCCCTTTTTTCCAGCACACATTTTGTATGTATGTATGTATGTATGTATGTATGTATGTATGTATTTTATTATTAGTTGTTCAAAACATTACCACATACTATTTTTAAGCTGATGTCTCTGTGGGAGAATGAGACCCAGGCTTCCTATTCTGCCATATTTTTAATGTCATTCCTGAATAATTTCTTTAATGTTTACTATCCATTGAGTTTTCCTCTTTGGTAATGATCTGCTTATGTTCCTTGCCCATTTCCAGMGCAGAGTATCTGCCTTTTATAACTGGTTTGTGGTAGTCCTTCCACACATTGCATACTAACTTTTTTATCAGTTTTATAAGTTGCAAACATCTTCCAAGTCTGTGATTGGTTATTTCCAGGCATTAACAGTGTTTTATTATTATTGTTGTTATTATTATTTTGTTTATTCCTAGTTGATTTAAAAAAATTTTTAACTATATGACATTTTGGGAGTCTGMTGTAGAGAGTGTATACACACTGATCTTATCCATTTTTAAGTTCTCTTTAAAATTTTTCAGATTATATAATTCAAAAGATAAATTATTCAACATAATCGACGTCTTTACCTGACATGTAAATAAGTGCGTCTAAATATTCTTCTTGTTCCCTAGAGATTCTTGTTTTTTAGGTATACATCATAATACTACAAAATTGATCTATTTTAAGTGTACTGTTCAATGATGTTAATATATTTCCTCAGTTAGAAAATCACCAGCATCAGCATCATCTAGCTTTAGAACATTCCCATCACCTTAGAAAGCTCCCRAGTGTTCATTTGTAGGAATTTCTTCCCCTTCTGTTCCTTCCACAAGCCCAAACAACCAATTTCTTTTCTGTGTCTATATCTACCTATTCTGAATATTTCCTACAAATGGATTCATAATATCTGTGGACTTTTGTGAGTGAATTCGTTCACTCAGAATCTTTCTGAGGCTCATCCACATTGCAGCCTRGGTCAGTTCCTTCTTGCTGAGGAAAATTCTTCTATGTGTGGAAATACCAGCTCTGTTTAACCTTTCATGAGTGGAGGGGTATCTGGGTTGCTCCCACTTTTTGTCTGCTACCAGTAATGCTATGAACATTTATATAGAGCATGTGGGTGCTTCTTAGCTATTTGTATATACTTTTTGGTGAAATCTGTATTTCAATCTTTTGCCCATTTTAAATTGAGTTATTGTCTTATTGCTGACTTCTTCATATATTCTAGACATGGAGGCCTAAGCAGATGTGTGACTTGAAGTATTTTCTTAGTCTGTGATTTGTCTTTTTATTTATTATAAGATGGTAAAYAGGTTTTTTGGGGGGCGGGTGGTGCTGGAGATTGAACCCAGGGCGTTGTGCATGGTAGGTAAGGGCTCTACCGATGAGCGATACCCCCAGCCCCATAAAATTTGTTTATCCATTCACTTGTTGATGATCCTTTCAATTGGTTCTGATTCAGAAGTATTTCAAATGAAGCAGCTATGAACATTCACACACAAGTATCAGTGAGTGTCTGTRTGTTCACTGGTTATGAGAAAAGACACAACATGGGACTGCCAAGYTGCACGCACGGCAAGTTATGCTTCACCCTAGTCAGTTGTCTCAAGTGGTGTRCCATTCACATTCCCGTGAGCTGTGGAGAGGAGGTGCACATCTTGGGCAACACAGGCGAGGGCTTTACACTTTAGTCATCTGAGGGACTATGAGGTGGTATCTCATCTGATTTTTTTTTCTTGTTTAATTTTTTACTGTGGTAAAACATATAACAACAGTTACTATTTAGCTATTTATAAGTGGTAATAATTCACTGACATTAAATATAGAACATACAGCATTGGCTTCTCCTCACTACTATCTATACCCATTTGTAACATAAACTTTTAACACATTAAACAATAACTCCCTTTCTATCCTTCCTCCAGCCCCTGGAAACCTCTATTCTGCTTTTTGTCTCTAATGAATGTGCCTATTCTAGGATCTCATATAAGTGAAATTAAACACTATTTGTCCTGTGTCTGGCTTCTTTCACTAAGCAAGATGTTTTCAGGGCTGCCCATGTTCTTGCACATATAAAAATTCTATTCCTTTTTATAGTTGAACAGTATTACATTGTATAGGATAAACTACATTTGCTTCTCCATTCAACTGATGATGGAAATTTGGATTGTAKCACCTTTCAGCTACTGTGGCTAATGAACATTTGTATACAGATATCTGCTAGAGCTCCTGCTTTTGATTCTGGTATTGATTCAATGTTCAACATTTTGGGGAAGCACCAAAYTGTTTGCACAGTAGCTGCATCCGCTTATATTCCAACCAGTAATGCACAGGGGCTCCAATTTCTCTGCAATCCTCACCAACACTTGTCTTCCACTTTTTTCTCTATTATTATTATGGTCATCCTACGAGGTGTACAGTGGTATTTCACTTGCATTTCCCTAATGGTTAGTGATGTTGAGTGTCCTTCCATGAGCTCATTATTCAAGTCCTCTACTTTTTGCTTGTTTGTATTTTTTTGTCTTGCTTTGCTTTGGTTTTGGTTTGTTTTTGGTTTTTGTTGTTGTTGTTGTTGTTGTTGTTTGAGGYGTGCTGGGGATCAAAATCAGAGCTGCCAGAGCACCTAGGCTTCACTACTGAACAACATCCTCAGCCTCTGCCCATTTTTGAACTGGATTTTTTGTTATTATATATTCTAGATACCAATTCCTTGTTTAGAGATATTATCTGCAAAAGTGTTCATTCAATTCGGTAGGCTAACTTTTGCTTCCTGGTAGGGTTCTTTGAATCTTTGAAGTAAGTTTTATGTATTTATTTGTTTGTTTATTTACTGTGCTGTGGATCAAATCCAGAGCCTTGTGCATGTCAGGAAAGAACTCTAGTACTGAGCAAAAATATATTCCCAGCAAAAAGTTAWTTTTAATAAAGTCCTATTTGTATATTTTTTCTTTGTTGCATATATTTTTGTGTCATATCTAAAAAACCATTGCCAAGGGCTGGGGTTGTAGCTCAGTGGCAGAGCACTTGCCTCACAAGCATGAGATACTGGGTTTAATCCTCAGCACCACATAAAAAAAAATAAAGAAAAATAAAGATATTTTGCCCATCTACAACTAAAAAAAAATTTAAAAATCATTGCCAAATCCAATGTCATGAGGATTTTTTCCAATTTTTCCTTCTAAGAATTTCATAGTTTACTTTAAGGGTTAGATGCAAGGAATTCCTAAAGGCTGAGGGCAAAGACCATTTCTGATAATGTTATCATTATCCAAATGTTTCATTTGGCATAGCTTTATAGACAGACAGACAGACAGACGGACACACACATACACAATTCCTCAGACCCTAGATTTTCTTAGTGACTGTTAAAAATTAAATGCTCACCAATGAAAACAATTTTGTATTATTTTACAAAGCAAAGAAACATGTATAAAGATGATTAATTGCTTTTTAATTTGTTTGAATCTATTTGATTTGTTTAGTCTAGATTTTAGAATATTATGTTTCTTAGAATAGGTCATATGTGCACATCAAAGATCTGTTGCCTTGTAAATACCCCATGCACGTGCTCGCGCACAGGCACACTGTCACTGTGGCGGGGCAGGGGACAAGCAAGGCTCACAGAGCACACACTTGCGTTGCACAGGATCTCCTCTGACATGGTGAGCAACCCCAGGGTGAGCTCAGTGCTCCTTTTCCTTTTTGTGTCCCTGACTATATACATAGGGATTTTCACCTAATGGGACCACAAAACATGTGCATAAATAAATTTATTTACTGTTCTATGAGAGTCAAGGAAATACTGATTGGAAAAAAAAAAAGGTAAAAAACTCACCAATTGGCTACACAGGATATGCCCATAACTACGAACAYGCATGACCTCTGGTTTGGAGGCGTTTTCTCTTATAACTGAACTGATACATTTTGAAATCTGAGAAGAGAAACACTTAGCTGAACACCTACCGTCTTTGAGTGTTCGATCYGTTAAGATGACCCTCCCTGAGCTCAGACACTAACGATGCCACCATCTGTAAGACACAACAAGTTGCAGGTGAGCACCTGCTGCAAACAGGGTCACATCAGTCCTGGTATGAGTGACATTTCCACTGCAGTCCCTTAGCCCCTGCCCTCTGCCCTCCTTTCCTTGTATTTTCCTCAGGCAGGGTGAGAAGGAGGCAGTGCCAAGGCACATTTACCCATAAGTGGGTCCAACACGTCTTATTCTGCATTCCTACCTAGCAGTGAGCAACAATTTATTAATTTCCTAAAAATTACAAACAAAATCAATAAAAACTAAAAACATGCTTCAGTTCATTCACTTCTTTCTGAATTTTCTTTATTTAAAAAAATTCTTGGGGCTGGGGTTGTAGCTCAATGGTTGAGTGCTTGCCTCACATATGTGAGGAACTGGGTTCGATCATCAGCACCATATAAAATAGATAAATAAATAAACATTCTTTTAATGTATTAAACTTTCAAAAGGGCAAAATGACTAACAAACATTAAATATCTCAAAGTATTTTGAGAAGAGTTCTGTCAAGGTCATATATTTAAATTTCTTGAATATGGTTAAAATTAAAGGCAGAAGAAAACACAACTTCGTTGCTAAGATGTAATATGTAACATTGTGTACTAGGTTACTTAGTGCATTTTCTACTTTCCTTTACCATAAAATTCTAATCAGTTTATTTTAAATAAAAGATTTGTTCAAGAGCACACGGTTGTGTTTATACTTGTTAAGGAATGCTCTTCCCCCAGAGAGGCTGATTGCTTGATTTACTAAAACCTTTCCTGGTTTCCTTCTTCTTCTCATAAGCTTCCTTCTCACAGTTCTTCCTTACATGGCCTTAAGTCCGCCCAAGGTAAGAAGATATAAACAAAGGAAGGTTAAACAACTCTCCTGGAGGAGTGAAGTATTTCCACTTACCCACCCACCCCCTTTTTTTGAATATTTCAATACTAATAAATTTAACATACTCACATTTTTAAGCAAACCAGGATAGTAATCCGCAGGCTCATACCCAAAACACTGAGTGAAAGGGCCGACTTCTTTTACATCAAATCTGAATGCTGAAAGTATATGCAATAACAAACYCTAAAAACCAAACAGAAAGAGGAAGAGTTGACTTCTTAGAAGTAGACAAAAGGCCTGTGATGTATGCCCAGAGTCCGAGTCGTATTATGGGACGGTCCCGATGACACGAGCAATTCCCCTCTGTCTACATACCCAGCTCGCTTTGATTCAAGGAGAAAAGAAAACATGTTGATATTAAAATCATAACACTGATATAAGGGAGGTCAGAGGAGCAAGTGGATTGAAGAGGGAAGGGGGGAGGAAAGGAGTGTACTAGGGAATGAGACTGATAAAACTATGTGTTATGGCATGAAAGAATATGGCAAATGAATGTGAATATTATGTATAACTATAACGTACCAGTGAAATATAGTAAAAAGATGAGTTGTTCTAAATAGAAATAAAACCTGTTTTTCAGAAAACAATATGAGCACAAACTAGAAAAAAACACGAAAGAGTAATAAAATTAATGTACAAAACCTGAAATGACAAACAGTAAAAACACAAAGATAAACATGAACAGTTAACTTTTAAGAAAAAATACAAATGTCTGCGAAACAAATGGATAAATGTTCATCTTCATAGTATAAAGGAGCAAACTAGGGGAGGGATTTACAGGTCAGTGGTAGAATGCTTACTTAGCAAGTATGAGGCCCTGGGTTTGATCCTCAGCACCACATAAAAATAATAATAAAATAAAGGTATTATGTCCATCTATAACTAAWAATATTTTTAAAAAATTGATTTTGGTGCTTTTAAAGAGTAAACTAGAACACACACACACGAGTTTCCACTTAGTGAATTAAAGCTTTCTGCAGATTTGAACACCTAAAGCTGCTGGGTTCTACACAACAGGAGCCCTGGGAGCTACTGGGGAACACACATGAGGACTTCTACTTATGCCAAGGTACCCCTGGAGTGTGAGCAGGTGCACCAGAGCCTGAAGGCCACCTGGACTTCAGGACGGTGCCTGCTCAGGAGTGTGCCACCTGCACAGGACTCCCTGTAGCTAACAGGCAGTGCTCTGTGCAATCAGCTTGAAACCAGGCACCACCTGCCTTGAGAGCGTCCCACACCTCTGATGCACGTAGATACCCCTAAGGAAATAGATCTAAACATGACAGTGGGAATCATGTTCAAAGACATTTGGACCGGTATTGTCATCATGGAAAACATCTAACAGCAGGGGACAGTTCATTTGTAACACCTTTATACAATGGCTCATTGCAAGCCATTAAAATATTTATGAAGAATGTAGGAGAGCATTTTAAATGCTTACATTATAGAACTAAATGAAGAAWGGAAAAATAATCCATACTTAAAAATTTTAAAAACAACAACAAACAAACATACAAAAAAAAAAAAACCCAGAAGGAAACATCCCCAAAGGTAACAGTCTGCAGAGTGGAGCCATGATGGGGAGTTGGTTACATGTGCATATAAAATCTCGCCCCTCTTCGACTTGTGTTTTCCAGCTTCCTGTATGTGTGTGTGTGTGTGTGTGTGTGTGTGTGTGTGTGTGTGTGGGTGTATATATATATATTCCTTTTATAATCAGGAAAAAATTAAAAAGTGTTTTATTTGGAAATATTTAACAACAGTTTTATTGAAATAAACTCCTTCATACAGCATAAAATGCACCCCTTTTACTTAACTCAGTGGGGTTTTATTATATTCACAGTGAAACAGTCATTTTATATTTTTTGTTGTTGTTTTCTGGAGACAGTTTTAATGAAATAAAATAACTCCCAGGTCCCATGRGGGACCTGGCCCAGAACCCGGTGGGTCTCTGTACAGACCAGACTGTGGTGCTTGCAAGAGCCCAGACCAGCCTGGGATCCTGCACACCAAGCTCCAGATGACACTCCTGAGTCCCTGTCCGAGATCAGCACAATGTTTTCCAATTAGAAAAGTATCTAGTAGGTTAACAAGAGCTTGGAAACACCAGCACTCAGCGAAGGAATTCATGTCTAAGCAGCCACTACAGACCAGCAACACACACAGCAGGCTCCTTAAAAAGGAAAAGGTGGGGAACTTACGAGGTGAAGGTGAACTTGTGTTTTTTTGGTTGTCAATGGCCCTTTTACTATGTGGTATACATGCATGTATGTATTGTGCTCAGGATCRAACCCAGGGCCTCACACATGCCAGGCAAGCATCCTACCACTGAGCCACAGCTCGGCCCCGAAGGTGAACGTTTTAAAAGGTGTAATTCTAAGGCTCCTTATGAGAGTGAGGAAAAGCTGCATGGGCCCCGTGCAGAACGTTCTTTTCTTCTTCCAGTCAAATCTGTCCTGAGTACAGAAAGTAAGAGCTGCCAGGCAGTGGGGTGGGGACAGAGGTGTGTGGCTCAGGTCCACAGGGGGAGAGCAGCTGCTCTCACTCCCCTAAGGCACTCACAGTGGCGGTGGGCTCAACCACACAGGGACATCTGTGTTCTCAGCAAGGGGGCGGGGGGCCAGGCAGTCTGGGCAAGGGAAAGCCCTGCTGTACATCAGACTCAAGGCAGGAGTGGGGGGTCAAGGCAGGCTTGGACTGGACACTAGGCGGGTGCAGTCAGGTTCTTGGAGGAGGGGAGTCCCCCGCCAGGTAGAGGGAAGGTAATGCTGGAAGCCCCCTGCTGCCAGACCCTGTGTTCTCTTTAATAAAGCACAACACTTCCTGTGTGCCAGGAGTGTTCAAAGAGCTTTACACACGGAGACTGGTCCTCACAGAGTCTGCCTGGCAGATGAGGAAACGAGGAGCTTCAGTATCCTGCCCGCAGCTAGGCACCTACTCTCTGGCCAACCCTCACTAGGAAGTGCCGGGTCCCCGCGCTCTCCAAGGCAGCTGGGGTGTTTTAACATGGCCAATCTGACTGGTCTCCCTGTGAGACTCTGATGGCTCCTGTTCTCTTCCCACAAGTCCAGGTATCATCCCAGATCCAGAGGCCAGGCCCCACTGGCTCTGCAGCAACCCTTCCTGCCACCAGCCTGTCCTCCCTCTACCAGCCGGTTTGCCACCCCAAAGGACCACAGCCTCTGCGACCTCTCAGGACGTCAGTGTGTCTTACTCCTTCTGCCTGGAGGGCTTTCCTATCTCCTCCACCTGGTTAAATGTCACTTTTTGAAGGAATTCTAACAATTGTGACAACTAAAATTTGCTGAGTGCTTACCACGTGTGAGGCCCTGGGCTAAATTCCTTAACTATGGCATCTCACCCAAGTTTTCTGTTTTTTAATCAAATTCCATTAAGCAAAGTTTCAATTAAGCCACTCATAAACAGGTGGCTATGACTACAATATTTCATATGAGTGACCCTTAAAAAAAATTGAAGCACAAGGTAATATAGACCCGGGTGTACAACAGAAGGAAACCAGTTTCAAGGGAGAAGCAGCTATGAGACTATAATTCTTAAGCAAAATAAGGCCCAGGCTTAACCCAGTGCCTCCCGCTGCACTCCTGCCCTACATGAAAGGTGACTTCCAACACCACCTGAGCACCACAGGAAAGTTCAAACACAAAGAAGTCTAATGCACTGGCCAGATTCTGAGTGTGCAATCAGCACCTGTGATCAATTCCCGAGTTAACATTTAAAATGGCCACAGTCTCCAGCTACTATTTCCACACCTGCATTTCCACAAACTGAACACACGAAGTCTTAGAAAAATGACATTCCAAGACTGGCTAACTGGAACCATGAGTGGCACTAAACCCTCAATGCACCGGGTGTTCTCCTACAAATGCATATCTAGGGTGAAGTTTAACTTCCAATATGGCACACTGAGAGATCAACGACAGCTAGCAACAGAAAGGACGATTTGAATAACCTACTGTAACGGAGTTGCTAGCATCACTGTTCTTGTGCTTTGTGCCCATGACGAACACAAAGGGGCTGYGTGAACACAGCATGGGGACCAGGACAGGACACAACCAAGGTAGCTACAGGGGCACCAACAGCAGGTGGTAGATATAAGGGACAATCCGAGGCCCCAGGCAGGATCACATCAGAGTTTATCACACTACTCAGAATGGCAAGCACTTTGGAACTTATGAATTGTTTTATAAACAATTTTTTATTGGAATTTTTCATTTCATATTTGTTTTATTATTTCTTTGGAATCTTTCATTTAATATTTTTGGACCACAGTTGCCYGTAGGGAAAAGAGAGAGTAGAGAGAGAAATTATGGATAATAGGGAAAGTAATATCATTTAATTGGCAGATCTCTTCTTAGGGCCTCCTTAAGTTGCTGACACTGACTTTGAACTTGCTATCCTCCTGCCTCAGCTTCCCCAGTCACTGGGATTACCAGCTTTAAAGTGATTTTTAAAAATCAAATGCTATATAGTTTCACAGTCCCCAGCACCACACACACACACACTACAGAGCTAGTTCCCAAACCTATTCATTCATTCATYCATTTGTTTTTCCTTGTCCCATTTAAAAAAATAAATAAAACCTATACCACAAAACTCACTATTGGTGAGAAGACAGTAGGATGGGTATTCTGTTGCTGCTGAGAGCACAAATTTGTAAAGTTATGGGAAACCACTTGATAATATGTAGCTGCCATGGTTTTAATGTGTCCCCTCCTGGATGCCCCAGTGTTGAGAGATAGGATCTTTAAGAGGTGATTAGGTCATGTGGGTCATCAATGGATTAATGTTGTTTTCTCAGGAGTAARTCAGTGACTCAGGAGGCTGAGGCAGGAGGATCACAAGTTGTGGGCTGCCTCAATAACTTAGTGAGGCCCTAAGCAACTTAGTGAGACAGTGTCACAAAAAATAAAAAGGCTGGGGTGTGGCTTGGAGGTGGGGTGTGGCTTGGAGGTGGGGTGTGGCTTGGAGGTGGGGTGTGGCTTGGAGGTGGGGTGTGGCTTGGAGGTGGGGGTGTGGCTTGGAGATGGGGTGTGGCTGGCTTGGAGGGGATGTGGCTTGGAGGTAGAATGCCCCTGGGTTCAATTCCCAATACTSAAGAGGRAAAAAAAGAAGGTGGGCTGGAGAGTTAGGTCAGTGGTAAGAGTGTGGAGGCCCCGGGTTCC